GTCATTAAAAAATGCTTCCATGTATAGCTGAAGGATGACTAAAAGATAAAGATGCACATGATGACGAAAGCTCTTAATGAAAACTTATATTGCAATGTATTTGTCATCTCATATCTCATCTCATGTTTCCTTTGTCATTAGAAACTACATCCAGGTTAAAAGAATATTGGCAAAGACATTAAAATGTATGGTTTTAATTATTGTTTATTAATTGTTTCACATAACTGGGAGTCCTGAAATGACTTCCGAAAATAACACACACACACACACACACACACACAGGGAGGGACCCTATATAAAAGCATATTAATTAAAACAGTACAAATTTTTACAGGGTCCACCCAAAAGACTTAAATACACTCCTCTTCAGCATAAGAATGAACAATAAAAATAGCACCAAAATAGTCGTTAAATTATTCAGATACCCAGGAGAAGATGGTGCCAAAATGATTACAAAGTTGGTCCTAGGCAAACTTCCCTGTGCAGAGCATTTCATAATCAGAGGCTATCACAGAAAAGGACCATAATTTGAAAGCCACCTTCTGAATATCTCTTTGAGGGGGCCTCAGATGTGGATCCTAGAGTCTGGCCACACGGGTACAGGGAAAATGCCTTATGTATTATGAAACAAACATAGCATTTTGACCACATAATAATACAAAGTTTGCATGATACCATTAATAAAAAAGCAAGGGCAAGGTAGCTCACAGAGAGGGCCTTAAAAATGAGGATAGATGAATAGCAGATCAAATGAGAACTTGTCTAATAGTGAGGGGTCCCAGTTATGTTGATTTAAGAGGAAGTGATGTTTGAAGCTCTAAAGAACTCCCTGGAGTGGCCAATGAGTTTATATCCTGTGACTGAGTGGAATTTCACATATTACAAAATAAGTGGTTAAGAGCATGGGAATGGGACTCAGGCGATCTGGGTTCGAGTCCCTGCTCGGCCATGGAGTCAACTGGGTGACTTTGGGCCAGTCACAGACTCTTAGCCCAACCTGCCTCACAGGGTTGTTGTTGTGGGGATAAGATGGAGGAGGAGAATGATGTAAGCTGCCTTGAGCCCTTGTAGGAAAAAGGCAGGATATAAATCAAAAAATAAATATAAATAAATAAATAAATATCCTGTGACTGAGTGGAATTTCACATATTACAAAATACCAACATGAAGGCCCTGTTTTATCTAAAATTTATATCGATGGCATTCCACTTAACAAGCTCATTGGTATATATGAGGAAATGTACCGTATATGCTGTAATATTTACAGAGTATCCTATGCTTTGTCTCAATGCACATTCTGTCTCAGTTTTTGCTAACTTAGAAAGCTGCTCCAAGTTCTTGCTCACCTGTTGATTGGTGTCTAGCTGAGCAACTGAACAGGCAATGCCATTATGGCAGTCCCAGCATAACCACGTGCCCTTAGTTAGCAGAATAGTTTCTGTGGTTACAGCAGAACATTCCTATATCTTTAAGTATGGCAGTCTTGCCCAATATTGGAATCTGAGTTTCATCAGGAAAACTATTAGTTTTCTCAGATGCTTTCCATAATGAAGGTAGATCTTGTAATTCCTGAATGATGAGAAAAAGTATCACAGGAGATAATTGTAGGCACTCAAGAGAGAATGTAGCCCTGTTAGTCATGAGTTCCAAAGTGAAACAAGTCATGTGGGAATATTTCAAGATCCAGCATAAGTCTCAGATATATTAAGTGTAGGTCAACTATTGGAGGCATCAAATTTCAACTTAAGGGTGCCTCACAGGAAACAGGACAAACCAAACTTTATTCTTAAGATTTTTTTTTAATATTTAAAGATATAAGTCAGGAAACAATTCCTGCTCTAGAAATTGTATTATGACAGCATATGTCTTTCATGTTCTTAAGGCCAATCTATAAAATTATTATTGTTATTACATTAATATCCCATCCTTTTTCCTCTTTGGAGTAATGCAAGTTAGCTTACATAACTCTATTTTTATCTGGACCAAAAGTCATCCAATGAGCACAGGAGCATCTAGAACTCTTGAAGGGAACGCTCAATTTCCTCTTTAAAGAGCAGCGTTGTATGAGGGAGTTGAGCCAAGAAGATCATAGTATGGGAAGTTAGTTGAAACATTTTCCAGTGCATCATTTCTCCAACTAAATAGGATATTTAGATGTAGGAAAGGGGAAAAAATCAGAGGAACAAGTTTTTGTGCCCATATGTTTCTCCCTCCACCATGGTTGATTGCAGCTCCAGGCAGATTACTTGTCACAGGGGAATTGCACTTGGGAAACAGTTGGATCCCCCTTCAACCCAGTCCCTAACCAAATCTGCATCTCCACATTGGTTTTTTTTTAAAGTATATCGGAAGTTCCAGTTGCAGAATTACAACATAACATGGAGTATGGGCCCTAATCAGTTTTCCTTGTTTTCTTTACCATTGGATCCATGAGCCAGTCAGATGGCGGTGGTAGCACTTCAGGGCTGCCTCATTCAATAGCAATGACCAACTTCTAGGCGGAGAATTACGCGAACCCATTTGTATGTCAAACCATGAGTATCCAGGACCTCTCTGAATGATCTGTGCCATTGCTGTGGTATGATCCATTGTGGGTGTTTCAGTATGTTTCACTAGTAGGTTTTGGATTGGGTTTGAACTTGTTACTGCTGCATTTTCTGAGTAATCCAGGTCTTTAAAAATACTGAACTTTGCCTATTAAAAAAAAACCTCATGCTGAAATTCTTTATTAAATGTTACCTGTGGTACTGCCTCTTGCCATTGTGTTTAAGAAGGGTAAGAGCTTTAAAGCCCCAAACACTCTGGAAAAATGTTGGGACTATCGGTTTTTGACTGCAGTGTGTGAGAGCTCCTGATTTCTTTGATGCATAACACACCTGTGAAATAAGTAATGATAACATCAGTGTCCAGATTTTGCCATTGCACAATATCCTTATCTCAGGTATTTGCCTAACCTTACCTTTATTGGAATGTTGCCATATAGGTCAAAGGACCATTTTTCCCAGACATTTTCAGTTTGCTCAAGAATGGTAAAAGAATGGATTGGAAATCTAAAATGAATAGGAGGGTTTACCTGTGACTTGCAATGGTATGATACAACCCAGTCAGGTGATAGGCAGGTCACATTTCTAGACTGACGGCAGGAAGGGAATGTAATGACAATGAATATTGTCTCAGACACCTCTCCTCCACTTAAAGACTCCCTGCATGACTCAGCGGGTTTTTAAAATTAAGGCTTAGAATTATGTGCTGAGAAAAGCTAAACTCTTTGTATGCAATTTTTCAAATTAAGCTGATTGGCATCTATTTTGCATAATTTATCTTGCTTCTGCTGATGATGGGGAGGGGCAGTGAACTGGAAACAGCATTTTCTCTCCAGTCATTGGGAATTCTACAGCCACTTATTCCAAGCTCTGAGATTTAATCAAGCATCGCTAAGACACTTTCAGGTCCAGCCTGGCAACCATAAGGGTTAGAAAGTGCATGTGCGTCCTAATGAAAGCAAAGATCCTTGAATTTTGAATTTTGTTCTGGTGCCAAATTACACAATCCTATTGGATCTCGGTATACACACAGATGTGTATGAGTAACACACAGCTGCAAACTCTGCCTTCAGAAACTATTTAATATCACTAAGACCCTGATTACAGAAATATGTAATATCATGTACAATCAAACTTATTCACATACAGAATTTCTGTAACAAGGTTTGTAACAAGATGTTGCAGTGCTGAGTGCTCCTATTCAGAAAATTCCATTCCAACCCTTCTACTTCCCGTTTTTCAGTTACCCTTGCAATATGCATCCATTTTGCATGGCTGCCAGGCATCCTCAGGCTTTGCTTGGCTGTTTTGGGGTGGCTCCTTTCCTTACACCTGTCTCTAAGGATTTGTGAGTGTGTCTTCAGTGGTTTCCTTACCCAGATGATTCCTCCAATATGGTGTAGACAGTACTGCTGTGACTACATTAAGATTAAGATTAGCATTTACCTCTCAACACTAGAAATAGAAGGAGCAGAAATATGAAATGCTGGATGGATTTGGGGGATGCTTGAACCTGTAGTGCTGCGTAAGTCATGCAATGCGGGTTAAATGCCAGAGGCCCCATGACATGCCTTAGAGATGACCAGGCACTTTGTGGGTACAGCCCCCCCCCCCACTTGGCCCTCACATGGGTTTCCCAGGGAACCCCACGGCAGCACCAAGATTCCCCTCCCTCCTTGTTGTGATCACAAATGACTGACAGCATCCCCAGTGTGCCCAAGTGGCATCTGGGGGCAGCTGCCAGAGGCGAGATCAGCTGCACTGATCTCAGAGGGGGCTTGCTGGCCTGCCCTCGTATGCTGGACTCTTTCTGGGACTCAGCGTGGTGGGGCAGAGATCAGGAAGGCCAGCCTGCAAGCCAGCGCTGCTGATCTCAGCAGTGGTGGTGGGGTCCTGGCCCACCATGATGGGTCCCTTCTGGGGCTCAGCATGGTAGAGCAGAGACCAGGCCGTGATGACTTGGGAGTCAACCCCAGCAATTGCTGCTCCTGCACTTCCCTCCACCTCCTCACAGCCCAGGGCTGGGACGCAGCCCAGTCAGGACGTGTAAGCCTTGACAAGTGCGGCTTGTGCACAGCTGTCAGCAGTGTTTGCTCGGCAGCCGCTTGGCAAGAGCAGCAAGGAAGGTTCCCCCCTTCCCTTGCCAAGTGGTTTGTTTGCAGTAGAGCTTTACCCATGATGGGTCATGTCCATGTTTGGGCACCATGTGAGGCAAACAAATCCGCAAGCTGCTGCTTATGAGCCAAAAATAAGCTAGAATAAGCGCATCCTGGGTTTGCACAACATGACAACCCACTCATTAGAAAACCTGGCGGATTCTTTTATTGTGCAAACTCAGTTATTTCCTAAGCCATGTTGCCCCTCATCATGTCAATTAGCCCAGCACTGGGATTAAAAATAACACTGTTCAGTTAATTAGCCACCAGTCCAGATCTACTTGAAGAAACACTTCCGTGCTACAATTTTAGGAACAGTTTATTTTAAAAACAAATAAATTACATTTCACAGAAATGATATATCTCTAGTATGTAAACAGAACACTGTGTTTTATAGATGTAAGATATTTTAAATAACATCAACATCTTGTAAATAAAAATAATTTAATCAACAGGTCTGTCATTGGTAAGGCACTATGAAGATATCAGTATATTGCAGGTATATGGATATTCTAGACACAGATAATGCTTTTTTTAACCATTAAAATGTTACTGAGCAACTTGAGTGTAGCACATCATCACTTCTGAGAAGTCACCCTAACTGAGTAGTCAGACTAAATGGAAGCAGCAGAATTCAAAGCCTAAAGGTGAGAATATGGCAGGTTGCAGGCCCTGCACAAAGCACAACAAGCACCCCAAGGCCATTTGGGACATCCTCAGGACCACGTGGCTGCTTGGGAAATGCTTGTCATTGCAGGAACTCTTTCCCCTCTAAGCATGCGTACGATTACATTATTAATGGGTTGCATCCTGATGGAATATTTCCCCATCAGTAACATTTATGAGTTCGAGTCTGACCAAGTGAATTACACCTGCTCTCACTGCTATCAGTAAAAGCAGTTAGTCATGACTAATTTAAACCCCCCTGATTTCAAAGTGACCCATGCGCTACCCAGAGTGTCCCCAAGTGTACAGTTGCTTTGGAACCAACTGTGAGTAATTAGGGTAGTCAATTTTTAATTAGCTATTCTGATGTGCCCTTAACAACAGCTGAGCATGAAAAAAACTCATTAGCAATTGAAGATTTTCTCCTCAAAACGAAATCTCCATACCAAGAAAAGTTTCTGTTGCTAATTTTTGTTAACTGCAGCCTGCCAGGCAGAACACACTTATTTGGCAACTCGTTCGGGATATGCCAACTCCTACCAAGCCAGAGTGCAATCAAATGGCATCTTTCACTGAGTACCTTGCCTAGAGGGTCCAGCAGACTACACATCAGCAACACCCCATATCCAGATAGGAAGGAGATTAAAACAAACCGCAGTATGCATTGAAAGCGTACGAAAGGCACAACGCTTTCCAGAGATAGCTGCACAGTGCATTGTACATTCAAGGCCAAGCACTGCACTTAGTCATACCAGTTTAAGTCTAAAAGTCAAACGGTCAAAGAAAATGGCATTACTGTAGATACTAGATATAAGCAATATAACAACGTGTCATGATCCATCTTCTCTGCTATTCACACACCATTATAGATAATAGAAAGGCATCATCCTTTGAATAGACACACTTTATTGCACTGACGCAAACCCTCATTGCTGCAAAACCGTGCAGCTTTGGGCTGAGTTGAAGGACACCTTGTCTGGCCTGCAGAGCCTGATGTCACCTTTAGAGCTGTTTATCAGGAGGAAAATGAGGTACGGACAAAGCAGTTCAAATGGAACCGGGAATTCATTCGCCGTCATCAAGTAGCCTTTGTAAATCACTTTGTATCTTTAATAAGGAGAGAAAAACACAAAAGAAATGGGTTGGATCAAACTGGCTGCCCTTTGCATTATGCATGGACTGCCCAGTGCCACAATCAGTCTATGCTGGAGCACTTTTATTCAAACCTGAACTTAATGGGACTCAATCTGGTTAAATCTATCATACAAAGATGGTGTGAACTCACTAATTCTATCACTGTGATTTGTAGCTCCTAGAGCATCCTCCTCTGGCACACGCTTGCCTGGAGAAGTAGCCTAGGTGAAGCTGCAAAATCCATTTCCCCTTATTGCAACATCTGAGAAAAATGCCTCTTGGTCACAGAAAGCACCTGCTCATCATATCTATGATTGCTCAGTTTGCACAATATATTTCTTCACAAGAGTGTGAGTCTGGGGATGGGTTGTAAGGAAAAAATTGTGTCTGTGTGAGTCAGCTAGAAGAGATGCCGGGGATTTAGCAGGCTTAAGGTGATTTGATTGTCTCTTCTCTAAGACCTGTGAAGACTCTGCTTTTCTTCGCATGACGAGAACTTTATTGTTGACAAATGTAACCTAGGAAGACTTTTCCATTGTCAGTCCTATGAAATATATATACTTATGTTTTGCAGCAAAGAGACAATGTATGTCTTTGAATGTTGGAAGTGAAATATGTTTCTCTGTTATTTAGTATAATCAGCCTTTTTTCCCCCTTTTGTGAGGAACCAAGGAGAGCTGACATGGTTCTTCTCCCCATTTTCTCCTCACAACAACCCTGTGAATTAGGTTAGGCCAAGACAGAGTGATTAGCCCAAAGACACTCAGTGAACTTCATGGCTTAGTGGGAACTAGAACCTGGTTCTCCTGCGTTCCAGTCCAACACTCCGACCACTACAGTAATTTGGCTGTCAGTTATTTTCATAGCACACCTGGAAAGTTAAGCTAAGTGAGAAAAACTCACTGTCTTAAATGCAGTATTGCAGTACAGTCATCATCAGCACAATTCCATCCATGTCTACTCAAAAGTATGCCCACCCTGTTCAATGCAGCTTATTCCTGGGAAACTGAGGATAGGATTATGGCTTAATTGAACAAAATGGGGGCCTCCTGCCTAATTTTAGACTTCATTCAATCTCCCTGGTAGGGTTGAGCAAATGAATGTATTTCTGCAGTTAGCAAATGAACCAGAACAGAGACCATCTGCATGGAGAAGGAAACTAGACCAACAGCAGAAAGTGAATTCCAAGGCAGGTTGGGAAACAGAGCAAATGATTAAGATTTTTTAAAGGTAGGCCTCATTCTTGGTTGGGTCAGCACAAAAGGGCCACCTTATATATTATAATTATATATAATTATAATTATATATTGCTTTGTTTCAACTCTCCACACAGATGCCTTCTCAAGGACAGCTGCTCTGCTGTCTGTGAAAAGAGTCCTCTGTTCTTAGTACTGATTTTCCGTACAGTGGTGGTAAAGAATATGCATCAGAACCATAAGAAGCCATGGGTATCTGTGGAGGGAGTGATTCACATCTTAGAACTCTCCATGTAAAATCATCCCCAATCACAGAAATAAATAGCTAATTTGTGCACTTTTAGAATTAAGGCTAAAGAGTGGTGGCACCACCAGAATTAAGATTGCTGCCTTGATCCTCTATGCCCATCACACACCATAGCATCTCCTTTCAGCAGAGTTTTCTGATTAGGTGCTGGAGGGGCTGCCATGGGAAAGAAGGGCCAGAGCAGTCCTCTTCTATCAGTGCAGATGATCTGGTGTAAATTTGGATCCAACCCATGTGTTGTAAATATTTTTAACCTAACCATAGTTAATTTAGCAATTCTCTATGTTCACCTTTTCCAGTCTGATAAGATTAGCTGTTAGTTCCTCACAGAGACCATCAACATTAAGATTCAGAGGAGATTCCAAGCTTTCTTGTATTGGCTGTCTGAAATTGAGGATATGGAAAGGGAGATAGAGGACAATTACAATTTAAATAAATTAGATAACAGGAGCCGTTACTGAAGAATGGGAACAAGCAATCAGAATTAGAGTGTAGAAGAATATAACTGTGAAGGAAATATTGCTGTTTGACCATAGATTGATTTGCTGAAAAAAAGAAACATTGAGGTAAAATATATCTGTGGATAATGCAGATAAAAGTCACCTATTGTGCTCTACAATATACTTAGAGACAGACAGGGTGCTGACTTCTCTGTAGTTCAGAAATCCTTAGACAGAATCTTAGTTGACATGAGAGCTACTGTGGATTATGCTGTGCTGGAATAATGGATGTGTAGTAGTGTTAGCTGGCAAAACAACAGATTTTCTGGAAAATTCTATGGCATCAGTGAATGGTGACTGAATTATTTTACAGATTTCATTAAAGACAATGTGAAGGAAATAGGCTCTGTTCATTCAGATTGGGTGGTGTCCATGCAACTCTTTGAGAATTTGCTGGACTATCACAATCTCCACATTGGAATAATACTACTGCCATGATTATTCATGATCACGGTAGCCTGCAAAAGCGGCACTGTGATTGTATACATTGTGGAAATGGGGCAAAAGACATGACAGGGTGGTACAGATGCTCACAATAGGAAGTAGGGCCAGCCTTACCACTAAGTGGAGCGAAACATCTGCCTCAGGGAACACATTCTGAGGGATATGAAGGGTTGGAGGACAAAGCTGTGAGTGACAGGCAGCCTGCTTTTGCCTGGTCTGCCCCCAGAATTAGCCTGCTATCTGCAGGTGTGGTCAACATTCAGCAGCCAGTCCAGTTGGCCTCTGTGCATGGAATGGAGAGAGCTGCCATTTTGCTCTTCAACTCAGGCAGCAAATGGCAGGTTTCTGAGTTTGTATAAATTGTTTTCCATTAAGGTTGCTACAATATGTGTTTGGCACAGGGTTTGCCTATTAGCTATATGCTGAAATTGCATAAGTGAAACTGAATAAAATTGCACTCTGCAAAATATCAAATATTTCTAGGCAGTATTTAAAAACTGGCTCTGATCCTGTGGCTTTTACAACAGCGTGGCATGCAATTTAGCAGACAGATATGTTTCCATCACTCACTCTTGCTGCCAGGAAAAGATTAACATGCTAAATTTCTGCATGTTTGGCTGCTTGTTAAAAGCACAGAAGGAAAAGCAGTAAAAATCTGGCAACCGCCCCATATATACCATCCAGTTGCACATTTATCAACAGAGTTGGGATGCCAACGGCATATATTATTTAGGCACAGATTTATATATTTTTGCTTTCTGATTTCAAAGCTTATCAGGTTTACATACTTTGTCATGCTCAAGGGAAAAAAAAACAAAGCAAGAAAATAGTTTAGCGTACAAGCCCATGCATGTTTAGACGGAGAAAAGTCCTGTAACTCACATCATTCCACAGCCTGCCATGCTGCTCCAGCATGTTGGGGGCTGGAGGGGGGTTTCTGTCTAGACTTGAATAGGATTGTGCCCTTAGGGACTTTGGTTTGGGAAGATGAGCTTCACAGATTAATGATGTAATCTCAGTAAATTTGCGGGATGAAGTTTGTCTTTAAAGATTGCAAAATGGGAAAAGCCATTCATATGTGCTTTGAAATGGTTATTCAAGAAGGTGTGTATGGGGGAAAGTGTCTATAAATAGTAAAGAATATGGAGAGAGAGATGAGGAAGCTAGATGTGGCCAAAACTGGAAGATGCAGAAGATCCAAAAACAAAACCCCCAAAACTCAAAACAGTCTTACTCATGAGTATGTGAATCCACAAATGAAGCCATGGACCCAAGTTGCTCTTCCAGACCGTGTATTCTGTATCTCATGTAGAATGTAGAGAAAACAAGTACACAAACCCTGCAGGAGAAGTATGGTGGGGAAACAAACACGTATATGTACTTGCCAGACATCAGGGGGGTGCATTTGTTGAGTTGGAAACGTATTAAGATATGGAAATTGGTGATACATTAAAGCAGCCATATCAATTCATTAAGGCTTTAACAGTCAACTCTTCATCCCAGTTAAGGCTCACGTCCTTCAATTTAAGATAGCAAAGCCATGCAAAAGGACCTTTGGAGTATGGTTAGAGATATTTTCCTCATGTAGGCTTTAACAGAAGTTACAGAAATCCACACATCCCACAAATAAGGAAAACAAATTAGATGGGCCTTTGACCATATAAACTCATCCAGAGTTTTACCTTTTACAATTTACTAAAGTTCAGAAGATTCCATGTGCTTATCTCCCCACTGCATGCTGCAGCTAGGAGGCCAATAGATATCTCTGCACAATATAGCAGGATTTATTCCATGGTGCACCAGTACTGCCTGCTCCACCAATCTAGATATCTGCAGCTTGAGTTGTGATGTTGCTGGCTGCTCCAATTTGACAATCCTTGAGCATATCTATCAATCTTTCAGTTAGCTTCTAGGAGTTTGGCAAAACGCTTTTGCAACACTATATATCCATACAACACAACTCTGGGCAATTTAAAAAGGTCACATTTTTCTCCCTCTTTTGCCCCCCTAGAAACATTTTTTGTGGAACGTATTCTCATTTGTATGGGTGCCCAGCAAATAAGAAAAAGGAGTGTGTAAAATGTTTGTATAAAATGTCCAACTTTCTGAACCATTTCAGATTAATATCAGTGCAATTCCAGAGAAGGTGCCTTATGCCAGATCGTTTGGGGAAATGAGTTACATATACTTACATAATTGCATAGAGAATAAGTATGTGATTCACAGACAAAGACCTGTGGTAATTCACTCGGCAGAAGAAACCAAGGGCTCCAGGAAGAACTAAAAGATGAACAAAATATTTATGATCACCAATGTAAACACTGGAGAATCTGAAAAATGCAATGACTTAACACATGGTGGGAGACTAGAACCACCAAAAAAAGATGCATTGATTGTTATTACCAGTTAAAATGATTCCAATATGTTAATGCAGGTTATGTTTTGATACCACAATTAAAATTAAGAGGCTTTGTCTACTGTGCAACATGAATATAATATATGCTAACCTTATGGAGCATGTTGCTTACAGTAATGCCACCAGCAATGGACATGTTTACACCTCAGGAAACCTTGATTAAAATCTACAGCTTAAATATGTGATTAATAAATTAGTGAGCTCATGTTCTCAGCCATATGGGAGACAGCATTTCAAAGTGTAAGCTGATCTGAATGCAACTATACTCAGAATAGTGGGGCAAAGAGAAGAATTCTAGAAATACACAAGGCTGCAGTCATGCTACATGCTGTGGAATCTGTTTATGCAAGATCTGGTGGCATATGAAGACTTCCTGTTATAAAGCATAACTGAGAAGAAGAGTTTCTGATAAGTGCAAAAAGAAGCAGTCTGTGCACACCTGCTCATTCCTACACATGATCATTATGGACCCTTTCCCCAAGGCCTCGTGCCTCCTTCCTGCCTCACAGTCAAGTTCCTACCAGAGAAGTTTTCACAGGCTGTAACCTCTGCCTTCTCCCCAAATGTTGCCTCAGAAATGAATATTATGAATAAATAAAGTCATGAATACCGAAATGCATTTTTATTCCCCAAGTTAGGCTCCCATTACAAATATTGGGCAGTACATGTGGCAAACATTGGGGAAACATGTGGCTAGATACACTGAAATGCAAGCCAGAGGGAACCAGCGGCATGTTTTTGCAAGAGGTTCACCCAAGCCAAAGAACAGATTTGGATTTAATTTCACTTTTCATTTACAGTGTTCCAGCACAAAGCATAAAACAGCCATTCTCTGAGCACTTTCAGATTCAGCTAATGGGGCTGAATTCAGATTTAGGCATGTACAATGGGGCTGGAAGAAGCTGTTTCCTTGCCCTTTCCTCTCTACCTTTGCCTCTCTGGCCCCCAGAAAACACCACCCAGAGGGGCAGGGAATAAACTGTGCGACAGAAGAGGAGATCTTTGAAAATCAGTTGGAGACACTTGTGAGCAATGCCCTTTTGTCAACAGAAGGCAGGTCCGACCATTCTTTGTTTTTATTTTTGCAGAAAACCTGACCTCACCTGGCTGTATAAGCCTAGCCCCAGCACCATCTTCAAATGTAGATTTGGCTTATTTACCATTTCTTGAAACATTCCTGACTTTATCATCACACAAGCATTTAGACTGCGCATCCGAATGGACAGACTTTGTCTCAGTCTTGGAGGTTTTCAGATGTGTTTGGGTCTCAACAACACGGAAATCTGTTGGGAAATAATATTTTTAAGCTAAAAGCAAACATATATTGAACATTCAGAAAACTTAAGACACAGAGCACAATGCAGATACATTAAAGTTTATGTGGATTTTGCCTCTCTTCAGCAGGATGGAACTTGCATCTATATTGCAATTTTTGTTGTAGCCAGAATTGGCCAAGTTAATATTATTTCTGTTGTTAATAAATGGTTAACAGTCTTAAAAGGCAATAAATAACTTTTCTACACCAGGGTATTAATTGGCTGTTAATATACTATATTTGCTTTAGATTTTGCTGCAGAATTGAAATCAAAGCACTACATGAAGAACATTTCCTTCCCTGCCTTTCCACAAAACAGAATAGTGTAAATGCACTACTAAAAGAAAGCAATCTCTTTCACTTTTACAATTAACATTTTTTTTACTTAAAAAAAAGGTTGTTTGAAGTGCAAAATTTCAAAGGATCACAATGCCATTTAATGAATCCATCAACAACCCTAAGTAGGAAATGGTACCTCTTATAGGAAAATTCAATAGTTAATGAATATTTGGTGGGTTGCAGGAGAAAGGAAAGGAGATGGGTGAAGGTGCTGGTTTCAGGCTGCTTGAAGGGTACATGGATTAATATGAATGCAGTGAAAATGAATACTTTGATTTGGCCTAAGTGCTGGATGAACGAAGCTGTAGCCTAGGACAAAGCATCACACAAATATGTTCCCTTTACAATGGTGAATAGCTCAAGCTTAATCCACTGTGTGATGCCACATAGAGGATGTTAGGGCTAAACTATGAATTTTCTTGGACACATAGCCATCTGCTTTAGACCAGGAAAATAAAAATAAAAATAAAAAAAGTCAGGCTGTAATGGAAAGCCAACTGGGCTAACTTTTGCCCAGAAATCCCTGGTCCAAAAACCAGCCACTGGATCAGTACGCGACAAACCAAACTTGGGGGGGTGGGGGGGCAACTCTATTAAAAGGTTAAAAATAAGGGTGGAGGGACTAAAACATGCAAGTCTAAAAGGATAAAATCAGGGAAGAGGGAGAAGGAAAGGGGATTTGGATAGCAGAAACAAAAAAAGTTACAGCCAACCAAGAACTCCACTCCTAGGGACTTGTTGGCCTACTCAGGCAATAATAAAAAGTCTTCTACCTTAGTCTAGGCACAATAACTCTACTTTGTAAGAGCACAGTAAAGTAGGACACCATAGCAATCATCAATATGGAGGATTGGTAGTAGGGTGGAACCTCCTCCTAGAAAGGAGTAAAATCCATGGAGCTTTATTTCCTCCTAGCCTTGGTCAGCTGACCTTGGGGTGATCACCTAATTCCCAGTCTCTGGGGTTTACCCATTAACTCCAGTGCAGGCCATCAGTTCATCCTCACTGGTTATCTCCTGCAACCTTGAAGCCAATCTAGAGTTCTCACCTGCCCAGTGTGGGGCTTTGACTGCCTGATTCCCACAAGGTTGGCACTTGGTATTTCCAGCATTTTATTCATTTCTGAGTTAACCCTTGCCTTGCCCCCTGAAGCATGAAGAGCACATTCATATTGCACAGATACTATATGGATGGATGCTTTAGCTTTGTTGGGAAAACAGCCAGTACACACTATCTAGAACTCTTTGTCCATTAAAGAAGTAATTCAAAGCTCACACTGGCATACTCTGCTTTTGGGAAATTTTTTTTAATTCCTAGACAAAAGGGGGCTACAGATTCAGAGTTTCAAATAATGAGCTCATTATTCAAACCTTTGTAGTGTTCAAATTCTGGGGTCTGAGAGCCAGTGCTGCTGGATTCTTCCATCTCTCTCCTCCGCTGGTGGATGATGCCATCCAGTTCAGAAAAATCTTCAGTGAAATCCTGGAAAAGGTCAATACATCAAAAATGACATTTAAGGGTTAAGAATCTATTAGCTATCCCCCCTCATGCCTTCAGTGATTTCAGTTACCACCCCCAAAATATGATATTCACATAGCCATCTTATATATGCCTTCTCACAATTAATCCCCATTAAGTTTGATGGAGCTTATGTCCATTGAAAATAAATGCTGAAGTTAATTTTTTGGCATAGCTTATTTTACAGGGTTGCAGCCGAAGTGTATGTGAGTCAATATGGTACACTACACAGAACACTGGAACTGATCCTTTTCTACATGAGGCATTCACTGTGCACTCATGGTTGCTTCTGGACTTTGCAAGGACACCACGCACCTCCAGCTTTGCTTCTGTTTTTTTTTTTTTAAGAGTACTTTCTTTTTTAGTTGGTTTTTTTAATGGAGAAAATGAGCTATTAAATCACAGCAGGGAAAAGGGCACTCTATCTCCTTGTGTATTTCTGCTATTCTGGTCTAGTGCAATTCCACCTAGAGTTTATCCAGCTGAAAAGCAGGAAAAAAGAGCTCTTTGTGTGGAGCTTGGATTTCAGAGCTGCAACAAAACTGAAAGTAGATGCAGCAGTTAGGAGCACGATAAAAGTCTCATGCAGAGAAGCCCTAAGGAAGTTCTGGCTTCCCATAAAAAGCAAAAGATCGCCTTCATCAAGCAGTGCTCACTCAACCTAATATAGTTTGCAGATAATATAATTTATCCCAAACTTTTGGAATGCAGTGGGAGACAATACTTGAATGTGAGCAGATGTTACTTAACTTCTTAGTACAGTGACCAGAAAGTGCTGTTTAATCTGAAGCAGTTGTTAGAGATAATTCATTGTGTGAGATAACAGTTCATCCTTCTGCTCATTTAACAGAGACAGAAAATTCTAAATAAGTGTGGCGAGCTTGTAAAACATGAAGAAACTTTCAAGCGTAAACCTAATGAAGAAGCTCATATAACCACAGGCTTAAAATCTTGAATGCCTGAGAAAAGGACAGAGCAAACATGGCTAAACATATGGAAGTCTGGCAGTTTATATGGGGAAGAACTTAGACTGCTCTTTGTTAATCCATTGCAGGGATTTAAAATATTCAGAATATCAAGTCTAGCACATGCACATACCCTCAAGATTGTCATGGCAATACTTGAGCTACAGATTTGCAATAGATTCTCAAATATTGGCCAAGTTTGAACACAATGCTAAACCATGGTTTCACAGTATAAAGACTGATATGCACCCTTGCCCTGTGTTGCCTGAATCCTAAAATCCTAGACTTAACGATGGTTACTGGAAATGAGCTAACTGAATAAACTATGATTTGAAGTTGGCTTGTTTCCACGAACCACAGACACTCACAGCACTTCTTCCAGGTTCCTACATCATGACAAGCAGCAACTAGTCTAAGAATTATTTATTGCTAACTAGAAGCAGAAAACCTCTGAACTTCTTTTGGCTTTGCCACAGGGGAGAGAAACAGGGAATAAGTTGTCTTCATACTTGGGAAGGCAGGCATAATTGCACTGAAAATTTTTTGACGGGAAATTAACAATTTATGCTAATTCTTCGTCATCCATCATTAGTTTTTCACTGTTAGTTTTATTTTAACACCAAAATTACCAGAGGTAAGGTTGAAGGGCGGTCGTTCCTGAAACTATTTTCCGGAGAAGGAGGATTGGGACTGTTGCCAACACTCACATCCTGAAAACACAGTTGTAGACGAAACAGATCAGATAGTAATATTAAGAACAAACACAGAACGGCACATCCAAAGACAGTTATAGCTCACCTCCACATGCTGACACACAGCTTTTAACAGTTTGTAAGCTGTGTCCCTTGACAGAAAGGAGCCAAATATATACTGAAAAGAAAATAACCAATAATTATTATTAATTAAAACATTTTACTTTAATTAAATAAATAATGAATTAAATCATTAATGAAAAGGTTTGCCTTATCTAGTACAATTTGGTTCAACAGCCACTTCTGTGGATCAGAAGTCTCTAAAAGGAACTGCAATAATTCTACGCATGTGTAGACAGAAGGAGTCCTACAGCTCCGGCATTCCCAGAAGTCTGATTTGGCTCAAGTGTTCTCTTCTGTCACCCCTTGCCCTTGTATATTGAAGTTAACCTACTGGCTCACTTTTGCCATCCTGATATTTTTACTGAACCACTTCTTAAAGTGCTTCCTGTACATCTTGCAAGGTATGGTTGCCCCTTTTTTCTGATATGGATCCTTCAGTTTTAGTAGTTGCATAGCAGACACGAAATTCAACAGGTTGAGCAATTTGCTACCTTTTCATGTGGGAAAAACCTTCTGTTCTACAGCTGTTGGAAGCAAACTTCGCTACTTGTAGAAGACCTACCTGTGAGAGACCTACTTACTTGATATATGTAAGACATCCCATTACTGTTCTCCATTTAGGAGGGGAAATACATCTTGACCGCAGCTATAGATCACTACTAAGTCAAATAATACAACCTTAATATTAATTAAGACTGGAAGCCTAAACATACAGATATGCTTCTGTTTGGAAGAGTTTAATATGGCTGCCTTTTCACTTTGCTCATTACCAACACCCCCATTTTAGCCTGCTGTTGGTACTGGCAGTATCACTAAATAGCCTCCTCTTCCGTTCCAAAGCCACAATATAGTTCTTAGGGGTTGTGGCCTTCTCTTCAATTGCTTCATTCCCAGATGTGGAAGCAATAAGCTGCCATCAATATTGAGCTCAGCTATAAGTCAGCTACAACTGGGATGATCTAGTTCTGTGGATGCATTCACAGAAAAGTCTGGTCAATCGCTATTTTCATGGAGCAACTTCAGTGAAGCAGTAGAACATGCTAGGCCTATATCTTCAGGACCACTTTCCTAAGCAGCATGCTTGCAAGTTCCAAATATGCAGCTATCACTCCTTCGATATACCCTGAAAACCATATATCCTTAGCATACCAGATAGATTCCTGTACCTGTAACTGGCCAAAGTTGCAAGGTGAAAAAAGAGTTGATGAACAGCATCTTTAAAAAAATTGAAGCTCTATCTGGAATAGCTTGTTTAAATTGTATTAAAAGTTAATATAAATATCAATAAGGAGCAGAAGAGACAATCAACCGAAGAAATCATAAAATAAGGCAACACAGAAAAGACAAAACAGAATGGAAAATAAAGAAATCTTTATGTGGACTTACCCTATCAGAGGTTGTTGTTATAACCAGAGCATTTGGCACTAGAAGAGCAGTTTTACTTTTCTTTAGTTGTGTCACAGAGAGTACAGGTATGATAATCTGAAATGAGGTCACATCACTCAGTAGAGGAAAGGTACAGAAACTCAGACTTGGGGGTAAATTTGGCCCTCCTGAATTCTTCAGATGCCAAGTCCCTTTCCTGCAATCATGGATCATCTTGCGATATCCCATGTTTTGCACAGTTTTATACATTCAAGAAAGTGGAAATGCCTCTCCTAGTTTCTAGCAGCAACAGTTTTAAGCAAAGATAACCTGGATTTTTTTGGCATCTGACAGCCTTTGGTTTCAGCCCTATTCAACTCCCACAGTTTGGCCTCCGAGAGCTTCTTCAAAATAGAATTTGGACTTCAAAGGGACACAGGTTCAACACTGCTGCATTAGAGAGTTAAAATGACAACTCGCAGTGCAATCTACTATGTACAGCTACTTGGAAATAACACCCAGGGAGTTCCACAGGATATACTTCCTCGGTCTTAACTTCCTTAGTCTCTTCAGCTACCTAGCCACAGTATATTGTGAGTCTTAGTACAGACCACTTGCAATGCAATTTTTAACTTTGAGTATAAAATTGAGTATAAAATAGATACGTCTAGATAAATAAAAACAAGTTTCTCTTTTTGCTTTAAGTTTGAGTGTGAGCACGAATTTACAGGACATGCTATGTTATGACAGGAAAAAAATCATGTGTTAAACAGATGGCAACTACTTTCATGAGGCTTAAGATTTTTGATGTTTCCATCTGTACTAACAAAGGCAATAAGCTTCTGAGCAGTGTTTGTTGTGGGTTGTCTGTTTTTCTATCTACCATATGAAAGCCAACAGGAAATGATATTTTTAACACATGTTGTACAAAATTACAAAAATATTCAGTGTTGTACTGTTAATTTCCCCTAAAAATCCAGTTATGACAATGTTCAAAATTTCGAATAGAGAAAATAGAAATGTACTTATTTTGAAGAGTATAGCAAACATCTTGATGCTAAAGATTAAAAAGGTTCAATGAAGTTATAGTTCAGTTACAAGATGAGAAGCACTCCACAGCTGGACAGCAAAATAAATAGTTCTGAGGATTCTTGGCATGAAGAAAATGACTTAGGGCAGTAGGTCTCAATGTTCTATTACGCATTTCTCCCAAATAAGGAGCTTGCAATTGATTCCCAGGGCTGAGCTTTTGGGAAACATGTTAGGCTGGAAGCTTAAATTTCAGAGCTGCCCAAGAAATTCTGCTTCCTGAAGCAAAGAACATGAAGCCAACTGAACAGGCAGTCGAATCCTATCTCAGCATTGACAGTGGGATACCCAAGGAGAGCCGGTTAGCTGAGTGGATGCAGGGCAAGTTGTTTGGCACACGAAACTCTACCGTCCAAGAAAAACGAATGGATGGGGGGACTCAGCTGGGGCAATGTGGGAGGTGCCATTGCTGTCCCCACCACCTGAGATGTTTTCCTCACTTTGCCTCATGAAAGGACCAGCCTTGCTAAACCTTTCTGACAGTAAATGCCACTGAAGACATTGGGACATGCTTATGAGAGATCATGCATAGTATTGTACTACACGAGACAGCAAGCCTGTACCCATTTACCTGGGAGCAGGTCCCACTGAACCCAATGGGACTTGTATGTGAATTCACACATGCAGGATTGTGCTATGACCAGTTCCATCTCTAATGTCACTTTAGTCCAGGATGGAAGAAAATTTCTATAGAAGTTTCTTTCAGAATTCTTCAGAATGCCTGCCCTACAAGAGGCATCTAGAACTGAAAATGCAACTTAATCTACTGTGCCGTACTACGTTGGCTGTAGTAGCAGCTGGGCTGCAGTGCTTCTAGTAGACTTGATGGCCAGTTAATAATGTCTAAAACCTCCGTTAAGAAATGTGAATGCAAGCAATGCTCTGGCAGCAAAAGCAACAGAATTGTTTATTTTCTATTTCTACATCTCTCATGTTGTTTCCTTTACCATTTGTATCCTCCCACTCCATATTAAATCAAAATTGATGATGACTTAGCTGAGCCAGATTCAGAAGACATGAATTCACTTACCTTAGTATCTTTGCCAAAGACCTTAGAATGGAAGCAAATCCAGTTTTCTGATATGAATAGTTTCCCTTGGTACAAGATTTCTTTTTGTAAGGCACAGGTAAAATCTACAAAGGTTACATATACTATGTTATCTAATTGTTGCACCTGTGTAATGCTGAAATTAATACATTAATATAATTTATACATCTGGGATAATTTTTAATACACACAGACACACACACTGCATGCTACAAATATTCATTGGACTAATGACTTTGCAAAACACAAGTAGATGTGGATCATATCCCTGTTTTCTTGTAACCTAAAATCTGATATTCTACTCAGCTCTACATACCTATTAGATTCTATGGCTGGCTTGTATCCAGTATTGGCTTAAGTTCATTTGACTTCATTTGGTCTAATCTATATAGGAGACTGCAGCCAAGAAGGTAGAAGACTGAGAACTGGAAGGGCAGTGATAAGGCAATTAGAAAAGTTCTTCAAGTGTAAGAGTATTCCACTAGATACCAAGGCCAGGATCATCTACACCAGCCTTCAGAGACATTTGGACAGCAAGTCTCAGAATTCCCATGCAGCAGATTCATTGACTGGGGATTCCAGGTGTTGCAATTCAAACATGTCTGGAAGGCACCAGGTCAGGGAAGGCTGATCTACACTATTCCTGATCACTATGTATAGATGTTAAACTGGGTAGTAAAAAAATGTGACAGGAAACACGGGGCTGGAGGAAAGCTTTACAAATACCTGGGACCAACAGAAAGAGGAACAGTTGAAGGCAGAAGAGGAAGAGCAACTCTGAGATGGACCATTTCCATAAAGGAAGCCAATGCCTCGAGTTGTACAAGAGCTGAGAAGGGCTGTGTGGGACTGGACATTCTGGAAGGCCACTGTAAGTCAGAGGCAACTTCAGCCAGTGGTATAGTGGCAAATTTAGAAGTGGGGGAGCCCTTCTTGATAGTCAGAGCCACATCTCAAAGCCATGCCCCATCAAAGGCACACCCCAAGCCACACACATAATTATACAATTCAACCTACGATTATACAATAAAAGTGAGCCTTGTTTGGATTTCTGTTGAGTAATGAATACAAGATGAGGGTATCTCTTTTTAGGTGAAACAATGACAGCTTCTCAAAGTTATTTATTATTATCCTCTTTATTAGGAACAAATGCTTTAAAATTACATCCATACTGCCTTCTCCAGCCAAAAAGCTCTCAGAGTGGCTTATGTGGAATTAATAAGGAAGTTCCTGCCCACAGGCTTACTATCTAAAATCATGACATACCAGGGGAAAATACATGGAGGGAAGAGGGAGAAAAGAAAACTCAGGCACTAATTACTCGTACTTATAGAAACATATGTAGTTATATGTTTTCCCCAAGAGCAGCATGCTAGATTGACAATCACTGTTTGGTTTCTTTTAATTTTCTGTGGCCTCTGCTACCACTGACTCTGTGTGTACATATGAGTGGAAGACCTTCCATGAGTCCATAGTTTAGAGGTTCCAGTTTCTCAGAATATCCAATAATCTTTTATCGTGCTCTTATTGGATCTATGCTGAATCATGTGTAGAATAGCCTAACTGAAGTAAGAGGCACTGCAGGCTATCAGAAGTCATGGCTATTTTTCCCCCATTGATTCCAGTGACTACATATACTCAAGATATGACACTTTCATTCCACTTTAGCTGTTGTGTCTCCCAAATAATTCTGGGACTAAGAGTTGCCCATTTGCCTCACAGAGCTAAAATTTCCAGAATGGTTTATTAGTCAATCCCTCTTTCTCAGGAAGTCTGGAAACTGTACCTGTCTGTGTGAAAAATAGGTGTCCACTAAGAACAATCAGTACCTTTGATGGTCCCCAAGATTCTTTGGGGAAGTAATGACTGTTTAAAGTGGAATAAAAGTGTTCTAAATGTGTGATGTGAATACAGGGTAGCTTTTGGAGCAGCAAAGGTGAGTTGATCCCATGTTGCTGAGGAGCAGAGGCTGACCATGAGGGAAAGTGTCACAGAAAACATATGTGCATGCCCGCAGGTCTCTCCAGATAGGTAGTTTCCAGGAACTGTTGGGAACTGTCAAAAAAAAAAAAAAAAATACCCCTCTTCTTAGCCTGTTAAATTCAAGACTCCAGCACAGTGGCAGCTGCCAGCCATGAACCAGCAAAATTAAGTCTCTTGAGAGGTGTGAGGAACAGTGACCCCCTTGCGGGCCTCCTCCACTACATCCTTGTTGATAGTACTTAATAACAACAAACTCTGCGTAAGGTTAACATTGCATACAATTCTGTGTGGGAAAACAAACATACAATTAGCCAGAACAGTCCATCAAACAATTAAACATTCCTGAGCCAATAGAAATAGATTTCTCACTAACATGATAAATAGTAACATGGACATGCCTGCATAATCCTTGCAGGAAAAGACATATTAAAATTGGTAGTGTGCTAAAAATACAATCTATAAAAATGCAATATAATAAAACAAGTAAAACAGAGGTATTTGGCTTACTTTGTCTCAAAGGTTCATCAGCTGGGACATCCAGAAAAAGCTTGTGAAACTGAGCATTTGACTTAAGCTAAAGTTGAAAAAACAAAGGAATACATCTGGGTTATAAATGCATTCACATTATTTACCACATTCCTACTTGCCACTTAGCCTGTGTGCATTTCACCGTTGTGTAACTATTGAGTACTTTTTTCTGCAGTGGCAGGTAGAAAGAACAGGGGTCATGTCAGAACAACCCGTGGGCTGATTTTGGGAAGGGGATAGTTTCTTAACCATGGCAACAATCCATCCTGTGCTGGGTTCAGACAACATGATAAGCCATGGTACAGCTTGAATATCCACACTGGGCACCAGCATATGCTGTAACCCCTCATGGCTTAAAAAACCCATGGTGGGGTGTGGTGATAGTGAAATCAGACCAGTGAGTTCATGTCAGGAACAGAAAAGACAAATAAGGATTGTGAGTCTGATAGACTGTGGGAATGGTGCTTCAGACAATAAATCCTAATGTCTGTGGAAAGAGAGTGAGGCAGAAGTCCCTAAGACTCGCATCTTTTGACACCTTGTCCAGGGTGTAAAAATGTCCATGGCTGCAGGTATATCACAGGGTCTGTGTACTTTGATATAATGATAATACAAAAAACTACACACATAAAATAACGAATTTTCTCAGACTGAGTAAATAACCTCAATCTTCTTTCTTCCCAGCTGTTGAGAAGAGGAAGGCTTATGGATGCAGCAGTAAACAATAGCTTGCCATTCCGGAGTGATGGGAATAGGTAGCGTGTGGATAGTGTCATTCTACAAATCACTCACTAGGTGACATTGGACTTAGTTGCAGAAATTTCTTGTCGCTGTTCTGTTTCTATTGAAAGAACCCTCTAAGTTTCTGTCTAGCTTCCTGACTGGTATGTTCTCTAAGCCTTCCATGACAATGGGTAAATGAGGTAAAACTCCCCCTATGGCTTCTAGATCTTGCCTCTCATATTCTGTAGTGGTGAATTGCATGCCAGCTTTCTTTATTAGTTCAGCCCTATTTTTCACAATACTTTTGTTCCCCTAGTCTACAGATCCCAAAGAAGTGAAAATTCCTCAGTACCTTACTTGAGCCATGCTTCTTCCTTTCAGGTTTGCTATCTGCTACCAAGAAGGTGTTGTTCACAATTGCCTTTGACCTAGAAGAAGAAAACATCACATGCTTAGTACAGTTTTGTTATTCTTGTTCACCAAACCAGATTGTTCTCTTTAAAGAGTTAGTGAATGGAATTTTTGCTAGTCCTTAAAGTATCAGAATGAAGATTCTTATTCAACTTGCTTCTGGTAGCCTTCTTTTCCCTTACTATATTTAAAAAAAACCCCTTCAGAAATATAGTAGCTTGGTCTAAAAACCAATGTGCTTATTTTGAGGTTATCAGATTACTGCCATTGGAAACCTTGAATCATAGATCATTCCACTCAGATCTAAACTGCACAATACTTTGAAGTCTTAGGTAGTAGCTCTATCATTCTTTTTTTTACTCTTAAGTAAAATAACTAAATAACTTTTGGGCAATGAAAATTAAATTTTGCAGTCTAGACTGGGACCATGGGATTAAACGTCACTATCCCATGTTTGATTCGTGCCCCCTGCTTGCTTTAGAGTAATTAAGAAAGACCTAGCTTCTGGTTATGTCTTCAAAGGAATGTGTGAGTTATGCATTGCAAAGATACCAGCGTGGAAATACAACTGGGACTACAGGCTTACGAGGCACATTTAACACCATCTTATGCCAAGCTGATGACTGAATATTCTACCCTTTCCACAAGCAATGTTGATTGAGTGTAACCTGACTGTACCCTGTTCCACACTCCTAATTCCTAATGGTGCCTTATTTAGGAGCAGCCTAAGGAAGCAAGGCAATCACTTTTGGTCTGCCTTTTGCTGTACTGCATTCTAACTCAGGTGCAAAAAAATAAAACTAGTTGCTTCACTCATCATGTGGAGTAAGGAGGGATTGGGCTGGTATGTACAGATAAACAGGGAAAGAAGAATAAAGTATGAATTTGGCTTGGCTTGCATGCACACACAAGGACTGTCCATGATAAGTATTTGTAAAATGTATATGCAGCATGATCACATGGATCTAGAAACCAAGAATGCACAGTGGGCCGTTACACATAATTACATAGAACCAGCGCTGAAGCTTGGATGGGATGAATGGAATGCACTAAGAACATAACTAACGGTTGTTCCAAAATGGTTTTTTAAGTGTGATGGCAGTGGGGGCGGAGGGGTGCCCAGCTACTGTTCAGAGATGCTATAAAGATGGCAAGAGAGTTATTCTCAATAAGCAAAGTCTCCAATGAGCTGGTTAGGAGAGGAGTAGAGTCTGACAAAGAAAGTGGTGGGCTAGATGGAGAACCTCTATGTGACCTTCAGTCAAGATGTTTCTGATGCTTGGACTAGGAAGTAACCCAACTTAGAAGGCAAGGTCTTATGCAAGTGTGGACTGTTGATTCAAAATGTAAAATTCAACAATGTAAGTCCTCCTTAGATTAAAACCATTGAAATGTATGGGACTTAAATTAACCTTGACGAACTCAAAGGCTATTCATTTCAGTGATTCTACCCTAAGCAGGAGTTATGCTGTATTTTACCCAAAGACTTTTTTCTGATTCAAACAACAGGCACACCTGCTTAGGTGAGTAAACTTTAAGAGGACCGTGTTGTTCACAAAATATATAGCAATGCTTCTAAATGTTTTCTTTCAAAGAGCTTTTATAGTTGACATTTCTGCTGTTTGTATTTTTTATTACCGTGAAGTTAAAGCTTTCTTCTGGTCTTCATAACATTCAGCATCACTAGGTGGTCGTCGGGACACCCCAGGGGATGGCTTTCCACTTTTCCTCTTTTCTTCTCCTCCATTTTCAGCCTCTGAACTGCAGAAAGGCAATGCACTTTCTTAGAACTAACAAGAGATAAAATCACTGCCTAACTGCCTGGTTAGCACTGGTTCAGTCTGGCTTTCTAAGGTTTTAACAGCAGAAGCATTAAAAAACGAAACCCTTTTCTTGTGTTAAAGTGGCTTCAGATGTTATGCCATGTCAGAGGTGGAGAACCACTATGCACCTTTCAAAAATGGACAGCAGAAGCTGTATTTATCTTCCCTATGAGATGTGCAAGCTCCTGAGGCAGTGCTAAGCTTACACATCTCCAGCTGGTGTTTTATTTATGTGTGATAATGGTCAGAAGTCTGCATCTGAAGCCAATGGAATTATGTGGAATTGGTTTTAGCAGCCTTTCCCAACTTTGTGCTCTCTGGATGAGTTAGATTGCAACTCTCAGCCAGCGTGCCATACTCAAGTCGGCTCAGGATGACAAGAATTGCAGTCTAGCACATTTGGTGGGTACCAGTTTGCTAAGGCCAGGTCACACCGTAGCATCAAGGCTGAAAATGGGATTACAACTACAAAAAATAGAATCTAAAATTCCATTTTCATTTTTACCTGGTACTGCAAGCCTAATTTTATTTTAATTGTACTGTTTTGCTTTTAAAATGTAAAGATTATTTCTAAACATACACCTATACATATAAACCTATGCAAATACTATGTAAATCAGTTTCCTCTTTTGTCCACTGTTTGGTGATGTCTGTTTTGGGTGATTCACATCTTTTTACCCTATGGTACCACGTTTAGGCTGCTACATGGCAGGGCCAGATATGGAATGATAACTTTGGAAACAAAGGGCAGTATCAGAACAGAGTGACTATTGTGTCCATATGTACATTCAGCACTGCACAGCTCTTTTCACTCTTCTGAACAGGATGAAGGCAGAATACCTAGTTGCAAAGCAAATAAAGAAAGCTGTGTGGTATGTTGAAATAAGACCGCTTTGTTCTGCCAGTGCAGGAGCAAATATTGTATCTGTTCTGAGCAACATGAGATGCAATTCTCAGCAAAGATCAGAGAAGAAGCAGCTGCCTCATTGAGTTTGGTTAGTTGTGGTCAAGAGGAATAGACCCAGCTTGATGGCAGTAAATGACCTGAGTAGCAGTTAGATGTGGAATGTGCTGCACTCAGTCCTAAATACATGTATGACAAACAACACCAACAAGCCACTTTCACATTTTCTCCTGCCTTAGACTTTGAGAATACCCTTCTGCCCCTGCTGAAATTGTATGAAAGTTCATAAACATTTTTTACATCCTCCTAATACACCCAATTTGGATGCAAGTTGCTTAATAGGAATTTATTTTGCATTTTTCCTAATACCCTGCATATTTACATCTTATTTTATCTAATACGCATTTTGTATACATCTTGGAAAACTTCATCACAACATTTGGAATATGCTAATTTAAAAGGATAACTGAAATTTGGTTTGCACTATAGTTTAAAAAGTGTGGAATTAGGTGAATTTACTTTGGAATGTGAACTGAAAAAAAAAATTCTTCCCCATCATAGTATCAAAGGAAGCTTCACTTATTTCAGTGGAACTTCCTACCATCTAAACATGCTTAGTATCATAAACTTTAGTGATTGGAACAGTGCTATGCAGAAGTATTCACCTCCTTTGACTTTCTCACGTGCTATTTTACAACCTGAAATTGAAACAGCTTTAATTGACACTGTTACCACTTGATGTACGCAAAATATATAACATTGTGAGAATGAGCAGTATTTTTTATTGTGATAGAAAAGCTAAGTAAACAAAAAACAAACTGCCACTTGCTGGTTGTAAAACTACTCCCCTTCCACCTCCTTGAATCAATACTTGGTAGAAACTCCTTTGGCAGCAATTAAAGCTGTAACCCTTCTTAGTGGAATCTCCCAGTCTGTGCTGAGGAAAAGCTTCTCCACTCCATAATGCTGACACCATTTTGATTCACTGTAGGGATGGTGTTCCCAGGCTAATGAACACTGTTAGCTTTGCATTACACCACATGTTCCATTTTGCAAATTCAGGTTGGTCTCATTGAATGGGAGAAACTCTTGTGTTTCCTTTGATGCCTACATGCCTTTTTGTGAACTCCAAATGAGTGTCGATGTGAGCTTGCTTCAGCAATGGCTTTCTTCTTGTCATTCTTCCATAGAGCCCAGCTTTGTGGTATGTCGGGGGGATAATTATCCCATGGATGGTGTCATTCATCTCAGTTGTTGCTTACTCCAGCTGTTTCAGATTTACCGTAGTTCCTTGATTGCTTCTGTGACTAATGTCCTCCTTACCTAGTCACTGAGTTTTGCTGGATGGCTTTCTGTATACAGAATAGTGGTTGACCCATATTCTTTCTATTTTGTAATAATGGATTTAATATTGGTCCAAGAGATGCTCGTAACTGTTTTTTCCTGTGTGTGTGTGTGTGTGTGTGTGTGTGTGTATGTATGTATACCCTGATAGGTTCTTGTCTACAAGAACTGTTTTGATAGTTTTTGTTGAGAGTTGTTTTGATACTTGCTTGGTCTTCAGGATACTGGTTTTTTTTTACTTTGAACATACTTTCCAACAAACTGTTTTTTTACTTTGAACATACTTTCTAGAAACAGGTGCATTTAATCTGGGATCACCTCGCACTGGAATTACACAAAGGTGTACTCTATGCAATTTCTTAGAGTATGTGACTCCTGGAGGCAGTGAATGGCATGACTCATTTACGCATGTCACAGCAAAGTGGAGAATATCTATATAACCAACAAGTGCACAAATCCATTTCAATTCCAGGTTGTAACACAGCAAAATGTGGAAAAGTCAAAGTGTGTGCACATATATATGAATAGTTTTGCAAGGCACTATAATATGAAACTTGGATTAAGTGAAAAAAAAAAGAAAAAGAAATAAACCATTGCCGTTTCTCCCCAATCCCAATACATTTTCATTTGGACAACCTGAATTACATTCCCTTTGATATAAAGTGCTGAACTTCAAGAATTCTTCAAGCTTGTATCCACTGGCAATGAAAAACAAGGAGGTTTTTTTTTTATTTAACTAGTCAGTTGCACAGGTTTTCACCCAAAGAAATTGATTCAGCATGTCTCATTTTCTAGGAACCCAGCAGTCCAGAATAAAAGCTCCCATTGCAAAGTAGCTCTGTAAACAAACAAAAACCACTTTCCCCTTTCTGAACTTCTGAGAGAGAAAGATGCTTTAGTAGTTGCACTGATAAACAGAATTTCTTCTATGGGATTAATAATCCAATTCGTGCATAGCAACTGGGGGATAAAACTACCCAACATCACAGCTGCTTATTTTCTTCTCTATTAGACAATAATATTGGCATTTTTTCAGAGATTTTATCTGAGCTTTGCGATTTTTTATCAGTCTTTTGAGAAAGCAGAACTTAGTGTGTTATTTTTGTTTCATATTTACAATGGAATGCAAAAGGGGAAGGAAAAATGTAAAGTGACATACTTTTAAGACACATGCTGTGAAAGAGAGTTGGTTTTAGCACTTATTTATTAAAGTGTTAGTATTTTGCCCTCTTGGGCCAGAGAACTTTGAGATGCCTTACATGCTGATAGCATAAATACCAATAATATCACATAGGAAAGCAACCGATTAAAAATGGAATAAAACTCAAGGAACTGCAGAAGAATGAAGTGCCACCTACACCATGAATGCACGAATCTTAAAATAGTAGTTCAGCAGGTATGAGCGGCCTCTAGAATAAGAGGACTTTTACTAGCTGCCCTAGCAGTGAAGGTGCTAAACACGCTCCTGCACTAAAGTGGAAGGACATTCATACCATTATCACTGTTGCAAAAACTGTCACAATCTAAACTAAACCATATGGTATGTGCCTCTTTAGGAAGACCGTTTCTATACTGAGGTTGAGCAGTTAATAAAAAACTGTAAATTTGAGTTTTCTTCCGCCTTGTTGAAACTGCAATACAGTCCCTAGTCAAGCAGTGACCAAAACTTGGGTGTCAACATTTGTATTTAGGAGAAATGCCCACATTTAAAAGCTAGTTTATATTATATTTTTGAAGGCATCCATAATGGAAGGAAAAAACAAAGTCATGGCTCCTGGTAGGCAGGTTGTATTGCATTGAAAATGCTTTGTTTCCTTCACACATCTTTGAATTAGTGCGTTCTACAACCCACTTTCAACCCAGTGTGGTGTAGTGGTTAAGAGAGCAGGACTGGGGCTCTGGAGATCTGGGTTCTAGTCCTCATTCAGCCATGGAGCTCACTGGGTAACTTTGGGCCAATTTCAGACTCTAAGCCTAACCTAACTTAAAGGGCTGTGGTTGTGAGGATTGAGAGGAAGAGGAGAAATATGTAAGCTGTCTTGAGTTCTTTGAAAGGAGAACAGGTGGGACATAAATATGGAACAGGTGGGACATAAATATAATAACTAAATAAATCCTAACCTTTGTTTCCCCCACTGCTAGCAGTGATGCAGACACGGTGGAGTCACTGAATGGAACTAACTAGCAATGCGGCAAAAAACCCAGAAAGTTGTTTCTCACATACTTAACATAGTCCAGTTAACAAAACTGGAACTGGCTAGTTATAACTTGCATGGTTGAGAGAGGAGATTGCTTAGAACTGTGTATAATAATGAACTACGTTTAGGCCCAGTGGCAAAGTTACAGAGTAGAATTAACTTGTTATTCAAAACTGTGTTTCAAATCCCAGCCATTGCCATTTAAAAGAGGTGAGTTTGCATTTCCATCCTGCCTTTGCTTCCATGGAGTCAGAAGGGCTTGATCTGATTGACCTCATCTGCAAAGAAGCCCGGTGTCTTTCAAAGTGGAACTTCTAAGCTATAAAATGTGGATGATAAACATAATGAATTACTCATGCATGGGCTTCTGCAGAAGAAGAAGATGACAGCCTTCCTACATGCACATTTCTGACTTTGGATTTCTCAACTGGCAACTAATTGCTGTTTGATGTGATATTCAAAATTGGCAAATAAAAAGAGGGGCTTGAAATA